ACGTCTTTACCGATCGATATTTTTATCATGTTGTTCTTGTACAAAATTAACCGGCTATTATTTGGTTAGTTAGATTAGATTAAACAAAAGGAATCACTAAAACTTATTAAAATGGACATGATAAAACTTTCAATTACACTTACCCATCTATTAAAACAAGCTCTAAACATTATCTCTGGATGATCTTCCATTCTAGATGTTCAAATCCAAAAAAAGCGTCTACATCCACAAGAGTTTGTATCATCAAATATCTTATTTGTAGATCTTGAGTTGGCCATCAACGATTGAGAGGAAGAAGAAGAAGTAGCTATTACAAGAGATCGAGCACAAGCGTCATTCATTTTTCTCTTCTCCAAACCCTAAATCGATATATAAAGGGCAATTCTAATATGTTTATTCCACTTCATTAAATATAATCCCATGTCATTTGTCAAGTAGTTGTATACGTAATGAATTTGGTTGCCTCTAATGGGAATTGAACAAAAGCGTAAGTTCATTAGGTTTTTTTTCAACAAACAAAACATGATTGAGGTTTTTTGAACGGTTTTGAAACTTTATTGGTCGTACAAGTCATTTTCCGATATTTAATTGCACGTCATAAGCCATGTCATTAGTTGATTTTCATTAGCCGGTTGACCCTAAATAAGAAGTGAACGAAAGTGTAAGTTAGTTTGGTTTTTTTATACAAAATGTTAAGTTCGTTGGGTTTTCTTGAACAAACAAAACATAATTGGATTTTTTTGAATGGTTTGAAAATTTCGTTGGTCTTATAATTCATTTTCCCTTTTTTTTATGTACATGCTTGTATAGATTCGAGTTTGTTTAGTTTAACATAAATTTTTTTACGTTTCCGTGCTTATTTTTATGTACGTTTCCTACATATGAATCGGATCGCATATAATACAATTTTGATTATTTTAACTTTCATTAACTTAAAAAAATAATATAAAACTTACTTATTCTTTTAATACATGTTAGTCTAAATTCAGATTTCTTTACGTTTTAATACATGTTAGTCTAAATTCAGATTTCTTTACGTTTCGACGTATATTGTGTATGTTTTTGTGCTTATTTTGATATACGTTTCCTATATATGAGTTCGATCATATATAATGTTTTCATTGGATGGTATAAAATGAAATTAGTCAATTGTATCGACTTTATATATTTATCTATCAACAAATGTAACGGTGTAACTTTTATCAATATAATTTTCAAAAGTCCACTTATTAAACAAATTGGTATCGCCGCACGTTGCTAAATATTTAAAATACATCTTTTACAAAATATCATCTGAAAACTTCGTCATATTAAAATAATCAAAAAATAGTTGAAATACTATAAATAAATAACTAAAACAATAATAAGATAAAAGTTTTTTTGTATGTGATTTTCATTTCGAAAAATGTATATGAAAAATGAAATGATTATTAACCCTGAAGTACCGAAGGGTAAATTATGGAAAGTGATATTGAAGTGGGCAGTTGCCATTTTCAGTTGACCCATGTAGCCAACAAGTAATTTCCAATAATGCCCCAATGGACTTACAGCTCCACTTTCTCACTCATACCAAAACCGGACCCTGCATCATCGAGTTGTACAGACTGCAAAACAAAGAACCCAATTGGCATTTTGTTGGAGTGTGGTGGACCCCAGCATAAGCAAGTACAATGAGTGGAGGATAGAAGCAGAAGCAATCAGACCCAGCAGAAGCGATGTGTTGATCTGATGACACGTAGCCAAGTGGGACCAGTTAAATTCATTAAAATGTCCACCAAAGTGTTAAGGTATCATCTTCCTTTCAGTCATCTTTTCCGTCTTCCTTTCTTTTCACCATATTTCTTTAGATTTAATGCATTTTCATTTCCCCCTACCCCACTCTACTATAATTATTCTACTTTTCTTTTCTTTTCATTTTACACATGTTGCCAAAAGCAATAACCTAACGAATTAGTAACTTCTAATCTAATCTAAAAACTAAAATTATATACTAAAATTATTAATAATCTATAACTTATTGATTCACATCTTATAAATTCCTCAAACTTCATTTCTTTATTACTTTATCCATGTACACATCCTTTTGAAAATTCTTATTTGTTGCATAAGATCATCGTGATATTTTGGCATTGATGGAGAAAGATCTCGTCTTCTGTTTCGGTTTATTCACCTTTCTAAAAACTAGCGTTTGTTTTCTTATTGATTTCGGAGATAATAATGTAGGACGAGACGAATGTTATAAACTTGCCACTTAAACTTTATCATTTATGTAACTTTCATGCTATTTACAATATGCTAGTTACAATAAGAAAAAATATACGGGATAATGTGCACGTTTTGTTTCACATTCTTCTTTAAAATTTTTATGCAAAACAGAAAAAAGAAAACTAGTAAGTTTGATAGTCTTGTAGACTTTTTCTTTAAAAAATGTAACGTCCTACCCTCTTGCAACACCACCTTCTTTCCCCCATCGGTTCCAGTTTGCAACAAAACCAGTGGA